TGTTGGAAAGCAATGATAAGATTCTACTCAATCTACGACTGATTTGGTTTAGCAAAATATATTTGACAAAAATGCAGTGTATAAAATTAAATTGGCATGTACGACATCATAAAAATCCATTAAGTATTTAATACCAATACAAAAACACTTTAAAACCAATCAACCATATCAAGAAAAAATCTAAAACAAAAACAAGATTTCGTCTGAAACCACAAACGCGAAATCACTGACACAAACAAAACATCTTGCAAGGAAGACTTGACAATACCAAGCACAAATATTTGCTTACACCTCAATTTCTCCGTCTGACTTGCGCGTGCGCATCTTAGGACATAATTACGTCATTGCTTGCAATATTTGTAAACATGTAACTGTGCCAAACGTTTTTCAAACAAATGCCTTCCAGTGATTTCATCTCCAACGATTACTATCTTTCTGTATTTTCAGATCCTACCATCTACATTCAATTTTAAACCTTGCCTTTCAAAGTTAACATTGATATTAGCATGGCAAAATAATTCCTTTAATACGTGTCATCATAACAATAGGAATGAAAGTAGTTTTAATTGCGATGGTAATAAAAAATGCAGTGATTTTCCCGTGTGAAGTAGATTCATTTTGTATAACATTGTATGATAGGTTGTTTGTATGTATGGTAAAAGTTATTTTTCTTGTGCCTAAGTGGGTAATGACAGTGTATTGTGTGAGATTTGTGTAATAGAAATGTTTTTGTGTCGTAAAGTTTGCTAATAGAGCTTGATCTTATAGTGGGTTTGAAACAGTTGCGTTAAATTTATAACACATATATGTACACACATATTAGAAAGACAATGATTAAACTCGATTAAATCCTTCTGAAATCATTGTAAAAAATCCACCGCTAGAATATGGAATTCCTCTACAAGGAGTAAGAGGATCAAGGATCCATCTCTTTCTAGAAAAATTGATCGACACAATACCATTCAGTTTAAAAAAGTAACTCTTTTTTTTAACTCTGTCCTTTCATCAAACGACGTCAAGTAACTTGCTAACCACTAAGGCCTACGAGAATGTACAATATACATGTAAAAACAATCAAATTTATTTGTGGTTTTTTTTTATAACAAAAAAAAACAGCTCTGGTAATAATATTTATTTTTAATCTGTTCTCTATTCTTTATTAATGATCCGTGAAATTGAATGTCTCGATTGTATTTTAACTTGGCAACACAGGGATAGATAACTGACAGGTAGCCATATTTCATCCTTAATCTACTCAATATACCTTAATTGAAATATATTAAATGAGGTTTTTGTAAAAAAATAGGTAATTAAAATTTGCAACTTAAAATCTTTCTAATAAAGCAAAAATCATTTGCTTTTTTTTAAGTCGTGATTTAATCTATCCGTCTTTGTAGTTTGTTTATTTGAATAAACTGAAATCAGATGCTAATCTCCGGAACATCTAGTTCGAATTATTTTTGTTGTGGTTAGTCCATTTATCGAGAAAGGCTATTAGGCTAACTTTTGAAATGGGCGAAGATGAGACAAAGGAAAGACGTGTGTCATCAACTACTGTTGTAAGTAATCATTAGATACTGTCAATAATTTTGACAACACATATCACAAATAAACTTCCCAATACCTGCAAAACATGATAAATAAAATAAAGAAACAAAAAAAATACAATTACATATCACGACAGCATTAAAAAAAAGATGAAAGCCGTTAAGGAAGTGTCAAATTCAAACGTTTGAATTGCGAACGTAGACGCGTTCCGTTGACTACATTTGAATGCGTGTGCGCACTCAGGAAGTTACTAATGCGGTAACGAGCTGACATCCGCGACTCCATACTGGGTGGCACTATCTTAATTTGTTATATAACACTTTATTTATTTACATATACACATACCTACTTGATTTATTTACTATGAAGGAATGATTTTGTTCTTGTGTGTGGTAGAGAATTTTAATGTATTTTTATAAGTTAATATATGGATTGTGGCTATTGTTAGGTATATAGGAAGATGCTATTCAGTACTAGCTGACCCGAAAACTTCGTATCAAATATACATTTTTTTTTTACTCTCATACCTTTTTTATTTATCAAACCCCAAGGCCGACCGAACGCCGGGTTTGTGGACCTAATGTTATTCTTTTATATCTCGAATTACCACGATTGAAAAGTCAAACCTACCCTACATATCCAGGTATATTTCAAGACCACAATAAGCCATATCGGCCATCCAGGCTTTCTCGAATTTTAGCGAGACTAACGACTACAGTAAGTTAGGTTAGGTTAGGAAAAAATACGGGTAGTTTTAAGTCTGTGAGATTGGCACTCCCTCTCGCCTCACCCAATGGAAGAAGTTCCTAATTTGATGATTTTTCTTCCTCAAAATAAGGCCAAACAAATCACATGTATACTAAGTTTAAGCCAGACCACCCAAACAGTCCCAATACGATAAATAATGCACTCCTATATCAATTCAACACCCTATCTATTTAAAAATATCAAAACTAATAAACCGACGCCCAAGATTCCCGCATCAATTTAAAATATCAGGTCAATAGATTCTTAACCTTATTTAACGCAATATTGTTAACTAAATAAATTAGATTGCTTTGTTAACAGATAATAATTTAAATTGTTAAAATTTGGTGGATGAGTCAGCATGCATTCCTATTTAGGGTCTTTTGTTGGTGTCAAAATATTGGATGATGTAGAAAAATAGCACAGGCCTTTTACAGTGTTGATTGTTTTTGTTTCTTTTTTCTAAGTAGGTATTTTAAATTGTTTTTTTTTTCCTAAGTATTTCAAAATTGGATTTTTCCCTATTTTTCCCCCAAAAGACGATTGATTAATGTCTTGAAAAGGCACCAGCCAAGATTGAGTCAGATTTACGTACCATAAACTAAATAGATTGAAAACAAAAACTTTCCTTTTTTATGAGATTCCCTAATTTATATATTTTATTTAGAAATCGGGAACAGAAGGAAAATCTAGCAACTACCTAAGAGCTTACATTATTGTTTCATTAAATACGGACTTTTAACAGACAGATAGACATTGAAGTCTTACCCATAGGTTAGGTAATTTTTATAACTGCTTCAAAAGTTATCCTGGAATTCGATAGTTACTGATATATCCACGTACGTTACAAGAAAAAGGATGACAGTATAACACTGACATCATCGCCATTAAAATTCAGATGCATGACAGATAAAAAAATATTATATTAGTAAGACGCCTATTTCAAGCAATCATTATTGCTATTTCACTTTGTATGGTCTCATTTCACTGACAATTATAATTGTGAACATAACAAATACCGAGCGGAATACACTTGCCCTATTCTTGCTATATTCATAGGTGGTAAAAAATACATTTTATGGGGTAGGACGGCAAACGAGTAAACTGATTACCGGTAAGCAATCAGCGCCGCCAATGAACACCCGCAACAATAAAGAAGTTACGAGTGCTTTGTAGACCTTTTGGGGATTAGGGTTTTAGAGATTTAGGGATTGGATTCATTCAGAAGGGAACGTCTGTCGTCGTAAGCATACGAGTATCATAAGTGGCCGTTAATAACCGTTCTCTTTAGAAAATCTGGATTAATGTCGATTTTTGACACATATAGTATGGAGTTGGATTAAGACCGGTTAAAAATATCGGCTGAAAAAAAAACAATATATCATATCTGACAGTGATCCTACGCGTTTTTCAATCTTCCAATTTGTTTTGTTTGACAGTTATGAAAATCTAGCTACTCTATCGCGGTTTTACCCGCTGCTCGGGTTCTACAGATCGTAGCGTGATGTTTTATAGCGTTCCTCGATAGATAGACTAACGAACACAAAAATAATTATTCAATTTCAACCAGCAGTTCTGGAGAGTGCGTTCAAACAAACAAACAAACTCTACAGCTTCATAATATTAGTAGAAATTTCTCTTACGTAGGTAGGTAAACTTGCCTAATTCGTACCACTTAAGGAGAACCTCGAAAATTTTGAAAATGAACAATGATACACAGGTATTTATATTAAGTAGTTATAATTAAACTAATGTTCTATTAGTATTCCGACAAAAAATAACATAAATCTTATAAACTTCTGAGAAATAAACAATTTTCAAAAACTTAAAAGAAGTACGATTTAAGACCATTGGTCTTAAATCGTACCAGTATATTCTTAAATCGTACTTTGAGATCCTATCATTGATAAACTGTCTTAAAAATCACAATCTTAATAATCTTCTACTCTTTTTTATCTGAATGTACCTAGATTACCCAATTCTTATTAATACAGCGGATGGTCTTTTCCAAATCTTGAAAGTCATCGCAGTAATAAAATTTAGTTTTTTTTTAACTCGTCTTGCACATAGCTCATACTTCACAATGACTGCATAAAATAATGTTTTTTTTAGTTTTATTAAATAAAAACACAAACTAAAAAATAATCAAGTAAGTAATTAATATTTACTGTGATATTAAACATTGTTTTCCTAAATCGTACGTACGTACGTTTTAAGAAGTTGCTGCGAGTACGAATTAGGCACAAGTATCAAATGAATTTCAAATTAGCCGCAAAAAAAACTGTCAACGAACAAGCCGGCTTTACCATGTGAAATATATTCACAAATATACGTATAAATATATAATAAACAGTTAAACAACTTATGAACGGTATACTTGGAAGACAGTTCTTGTGAAGTATGCAAAAAAATTACTCAAAAAGTGAGAAAAAGTGAGAAAAATCTTACCCGTTCAATATTTTTGTCGGGAGCAACGTAACAGGTGTTTATTTGTCATATGGAAATCTGGCCGGCTATTATTGACATTTTATGCCATCAGAGGCGCTGGTAACTATTACCCATGCCGAGATATAGACGAGGTACGATTTAGGCGCAGGTACGAATTAAGCAAGTTTACCTATATATGGCACATAGGCCAGTAATAAGCTGTAAAAAAAATTGTACCTTCGCTATTTGTACTTATAATTTTTTTCTTTCTTCTCCAGGCAAGTGGGCCGCAACCTCATCATTCCTGGAGGCACCAGGACTATCGATGCTACTGGCAAGCTGGTGATGCCTGGTGGTATTGATCCCCACACCCATTTCGAGCTGGAGATGATGGGTGCCAAGTGCGCCGATGACTTCTATAAGGGTACCAGGGCGGCAGTGGCGGGAGGAACTACTTGCGTCAGTGAGTACACTTCAATTTCCTATTTAATTATATTAAAACGATTAAATTTGCTTTTATTCAGTAGATGGCGCTGATGAAGAATAAGGTCCTGTTCGTCTTGTTCAATACTTAATTATACCTTCACACCAACTTCTGTTTTCCATTTTTTTGTGATTAGATATAGCACTCAGGAACCAATGTACCTGGTCGGATTGCCAAAATTCTTATTTTAACAGAAAAAAAAACATATCTTATCTTATTAAACATTTCTCATTATCAGTCAAAGAATTTTGGCAATCCGACCAATGGTTCCAAAAATTACCCCCTACATACAAACTTGGAAATTTTACCTCTTTAAATAAATATTATAAAGATTTAAAATTCTCCAGAGGACAGACGAGTACCTCAATGAGGTACGAATGAGGTTACAGTTGTCCTCTTCTCTGTCCCGAAGACTAGCAACGCCATTGTACCTCCTCTAATATCGCTGGAGTCCAAGGGTGACGCTGATCCCTTAGCTCGTTTCCATTTAACCTGAGCAACCAATTTTACATGTTCCAGTTGACTTTGTTCTGCCCCAGAAAGGACAATCCCTACTGGAGGCCTACAATAACTGGAGGGAGAAGGCTGATGGCAAGGTATGTGCTTCCACTATCTTAACTTTTATATTATTTTTGTAATTGGGAAAACTTGTTCATTAGTTACGATTTTACGACTAAACTGCTTGACAGTTTTTGATAAGTAATGAAAAGTATTTAATACGGTAGTTTCCAACTAGTCAAATTTAATACTTTTATCCAAACGTCAAAAACGATACTTTTCTATGAAATTTGTATGAAAAACTGAGTTATGACGTCATAACATTTTTGGTTCCAATAGCTTACTTATTTCTTAATAATTAGCTAAAAAATCTAAAACTTAGTGTATCGTTCGATCGATGAACAAAAGTATAGTTACTTTTCAATATTTTATTGTATTGAAACGTCGAATTAATTTATTTTTGACCTAGGAAACTATCCAATTGTATACCAACGTTAAATAAGTTATATTTATGATTTCGACGTCATTGGATGTCACAGTTAGGAACAGAGAAAGAACACCTGACTGACTTGGAAAACCTTTTAGGATAAGAAAAGTCATTAACAGGAATTCTCTTTGTTATTTCAAGGTATGCTGTGATTACGGTCTCCACGTCGGTGTAACCTGGTGGTCTCCAGCGGTGAAGAAGGAGATGCAGCAGCTGACATCAGAGCAGTATGGTGTGAACTCCTTCAAGATGTTCATGGCATACAAGGATGCGTGGATGCTAGATGATTATGACCTGTACTGTGCTATGGAGACTTGTGCTGAGCTGAAGGCTTTGCCTCAGGTAAATTGGCGATTTAATTCACATCTATACTGATATTATTAAGCTGGAGAATATGACCGCAGTACCTTATTGCGTTTTCCCCTGTATTTTTTGTTTTTTTGGATAGAATAGTTAATTTGTCAAGGAAGGCTATATGACAATTTCAGAATAATTTGCTCAGTACTGTTGTTTTTTTTATAAGAAACATGAAATTTTATCTCTCGCCCAGGATGAGGCGAGAGAGAGTGTCAAACTCTTACTGACTAAAACATACTCCCCTGTTCCTTCTTATACTCCATGCCGAGGCTGGGGTACCTTCCTGTGCTTGTCCCGCGGCGCATGCTATTTATTAAGTGTATGGCAATACCTAAACTTTTCTACCTGGGGATCTTTACTTCCTCTCTTTAAACGTTTTAAAAGTATTTATTTATATTTTGCGTGTATTTTTGTCTTCATTCCTGGCGTTCATGTCTTATTTAAACTATTATTATTATCTATACTTATATTATGAAGCTGCAGAGTTTGATTGTTTGTCTCCGGAACTACTTTTTCAACTTGAACAATTCTTTTTGTGTTTGTTAGTCCATTTATCGAGAAATAAGTGTGGGCGAGCATGGCTCTACCACACTCTTCGGCACGAATAGGTCGGCTCGACCGGAGTGATACCACGGCCTCACAGAAAACCGGCGTGAAATAACCACTGCGTTGTGTTTCGCCGTGTGAGTGAGGTTACCAGAGACCCAATCCTTCCCCTCCCCCATTCCCTCCTCAATCCCTAAATCTCCAAATCCCTAATCCCTAAAAGGTCGGCAACGCACTCGTAACTCCTCCGTTGCGAGTGTCCATGGGCGGCGCTGATTGCCTACCATCAGGTTATCCGTCTGCTCGTTTGTAGACTTACTACATAAAAAAAAGGTATTGGCTATAAAACATCACGCTAGGATCTGTAGCAGCGGAAGAAACCGCGTGAAAGAAGCTAGTTCTGAATAAAGGTACACTTTTCTTTTTTGAAAAAAAATAAGTTCAAATACGTAAAAGACTATATATAAAACATATAACAAATTGGTATACTTATATAAGCAATTGCCTCTTAAAAAAGAGGACAGACAAACGCACATGAGTAATTGTTTATTTTGTATTAAGATTGCGGTTAGCAAAACAGCTCAGTATACAAGCGTAGCATACTAATCTGTAAGACAATGGGTTCTATTCCATAATGTTATGGTCGGCTATCCTTTTTGTGATGATAATTTGATTTTTTGTGTATTCTTCTTCAATGGGGATTGTGATGTAAGTAATTGTTATGACGTAGGTGATAAAGGTTAGTCTCTTTTTTGGGGCAAAAGGGAAGGCGTTCTCTTACTCTGGGTGCGGGGAGAGGGAGCATCAGTCTTCCTGACTAAAATCCATCCCGTTTCCTCTTGTACACACTTACATTATTGCTCTTGACCTGGAATTCGCAAAACGGTTAGGCTGGGCTTTCATTATTTGAAGTGGAAACTATTTCGTTTTTTCTCCTCCTCAATAATATCTTCTGATTTATTTCGTTGCGGGATCCAAGACAGTCATTCATGTTCTTGAGACGCGCCGGACTTCAGTGTTCCGGTGTTTTTATGGTTGTATCTACTGTAGATACTGGTGCACAGGAGTTGCGGCGGTTTCGGGAGGTTGCGGCGGGCTTGTCCCACAAAAAAGCTGAGATTTCTTGTTTTAAAAAATCTGCACTACAGATTTATTTTTTTAATACCACTAGAAACCTATTAATTATGCTTATAAATCTTTAGTGCAGATTTATATTTCTTATCCGCACAATATGTGTTCTAACTTCAGTGTCTAGGACTGATAATTACATAAATAAAATTTAATCACGATTTTTCTCCTTAATCCCCAAAGTTGGCAGTCAACTTGGGGATTATAGTAAAGTGACAATAAAGCAATATTTACGACATTGTTGCAGGTGCACGCGGAAAACGGCCACATTATAGCTCGGAACACGGAGAAGCTGTTGGCTAAAGGAGTGACAGGACCTGAGGGTCACCAGCTGTCCAGGGATGAGGAGGTGGAAGCTGAAGCTGTTAACCGGGCCTGCGTTATTGCTAACCAGGTTTGTTTTTATTTACAATAGAATCTTTTTTAACCCCCGGCGCAAAAAGAGGGTTGTTATAAGTTTGACGTGTCTGTCTGTCTGTGGCATCCCGGAGCCTGAATGGGTTAAGCGATTTCAATTTCGTTTTTTTTTGTATTAAAGGTGACTTACGTGCGAGTGTTCTTTGACATGTTTGACGAAAATCGGTTGAGCCGTTTAGAAGTTATGGGGGGGTGGGGGGGGGGGGTAAGTGTGGAAGGGTAACCGAAGGTCTGATATTGATAACTTAATCGAGAGAAAATGACATAAAATACGTATAAAAAGTAAAAAAATAAATAAAAGAAATATTAGATTTCTTGTCGGGGTTTTTTAAATTTTCAATTTATTATACCTTATTAATGCCTAATGATCAGACGGAACCCCTGATGGTAAGCAAACGAGGTCGTCCATGGACACTGGCAACGCTTGAGTTACAAGTGGTTCGGCCGTTTGTGGATGGTAAATTTGGTTATTTTGGTGTAGGAACAAAAACAGGTACTGCATATTCCTGATAAGTATCTCTTCCTGTAGTCTTTCGGTAGGAGAAATACAAAACAACACTGTCTCTGATGAAATAAAAACAAACGTGTGTGTGTGTGTGTGTGTGTAAGTGTGGGAGAGCCAAACTTCGGCACGAATGGGTCGGCTCGACCGGAGTGATACCACGGCCTCACAGAAAACCGGCGTGAAACCACCACAGCGTTGTGTTTCGCCGTGTGAGTGAGGTTACCGAAGGCCCAATCCTTCCCCTCCCCCGACCCTTCCCCAATCCACAAATCTCCAAATCCCTAATCTCTAAAGGGTCAGCAACGCACTCGTAACTCCTGCAGGTCCTCGTTGCGGGTGCCCATGGGCGGCGCTGATTGCTTACCATCAGGTAATCTGTCTGCTCGTTTGCCGACTTATTACATAAAAAAAACATTAAGTACGTGCTATTACTAACCTTGGGGTGTTTTTTTTTTGATGGTAAGCAATCCCTTTTCACCCGTTACTCCAAAGGAGATACGAGTACTTTGCCAGCCTTATGGGTTGTGTTTATAAATAAAGTTTTTTTTTTAATTCTAGGCTGGAGCCCCTCTGTACATCGTCCATATGATGTCAAAAAGCGCAGTACGAGCCCTTCAGCTCGCTCGTACCCGCCAGCGACACGCTCTCATCGGAGAAACCCTCGCCGCCACTGTCGGAACTGATGGTATGGACCTTCAATCCATTATAAAGCTGATGTGTGTGTTTGTTTGAACACGCTAATCTCCAAAACTACTGGTTCGAATTGAATAATTCTTTTTGTGTTCATCACATCGACATTTATCGAGGGAATTTTAAGGCTACGATCTGTAGGAGCCGAGCAGCGGGTGAAACCGTGCGAAAGCAGCTTGTATATAGTATAAAACAAACCCGCTTTTTCTGTCCCTATATCCCTATGTATGCTGCTTGAATCTTTAAAACTACGCAACGGATTTTGATGCAGTTTTTTTTTAATAGATAGAGTGATTGAAGAGGTTCGTTTACATTTATAAAAACATCCATTAACCTGTACGAAGCTAAGGCTGGTCTCATAATAACTATATGTGTTGCTTATGTAGAAGTAAAGAGTGCTAATTATGTATAATTTTAATCAATAAAATATTCGAGAAAAGCTCGACAGTTTTCAAGTCAAACTGATTGTCAGTTGGTTCTGAATAAAATTTCTCGAATTAACAACCTTTGCAATTCTGTCTTTGATCTGAATCCAAAAGATAATACCATTTTTTTACTTTATGGCAAAAAAATTGCTTAGCGACCTTTAGGCAAATACACTTGAAATTATATCTTTATATCTATCATTTTAATTTTTTTGACTGCACTGTTGGTGCGGTGGCCAGGCAACTGGCTGCCGTGCAACTTGTCGCGGGTTCGATCCCGCACGGAACAACTCTTTGTGTGATCCACAAATTGTTGTTCCGGGTCTGGGTGTCATGTGTATGTGAAATTGTATGTTTGTAACCGCGCCCACGACACAGGAGAAAATCCTAAAGAGGGGCAACGTTTTTTTAAGAAAAGAAAAAAAAAGGAAGAGGAAATTAATGTTAATATGGATGAATAGGTGTTATTCACTTCAAACAACTGACTGCTTTTATGAAAAAGTACTAATATTATAAATGCAAAGGTTACGATGTTTGGATGTTTGCTACTGAATCACGCCAAAACGGCTGGACGAAATCTTGATGAAATTTGGCACAGGCTTGGATACACTCCAGAAAAGGACATAGGCTACTTTTTATCAACATACCACGCGGGCGAAGCTGCGGGCAGAAGCCAGAAGCTAGTAGCACAAAAGGCTACTTTTTACCCTATTCCTGCAAATAAAGCCCGAAGTATTTTATATATTTTCTAAGAATGATTATATATCCAGGTTCCCACTACGGCAACGCATGTTTCCGTCACGCGGCGGCCCACGTACTGTCCCCACCACTACGTCCCGACCCCAGCACTCCACAGGCCATGTGCGAAGCATTGGCTGAGTAAGTATACCTATAATATTTCTTCAAATAGCTATCAAGCTTCAATTATAAAATCATTTGTTCCAATTAGACCCTTACATGCACTTTTGAACGTCAAACAAAATCAGTCAGTCTGTCGGTCAGTCCTTTTAGTGAAGCCATTTGCTCGTTCCAAAGTGTCGATTCCGATGGATAATAGGAATTTCTACCACATTCAGGTTTAAATAAAACATGCAACGGGAAATGAAAACAATTTATTTATCATTACGTTAATGGGTCGGAGGGTTGAGTTGCTATCGTGCTATCATTATTTTTTATAAGATAAGGCCGTCTTGTGGTCCTGGGTACCTGATGTTAAGCAATTGGCTGCGCTAATAGACCTGTACTGAGTACGCCAAAGCGTCTAGGCAACCGACTGCAGTGCAACGTGTCGCGGATGGATTCCTGCACGTATCAACTCTTTGTGTGTTCCACAAATTGTTGATCCGGGTCTGGGTGTGATGTGTTTCATTCGTGTATTTGCAGGTTTGTTAAAGCATCTACGATGTGGTCTGAAGTGGACAACGTCTAGGTAAACATAGTGTAGGACATCCCCTCATTAACTGGTCTAACGATATCTTTAAGGTCACTGGCAATGGTTGCACGAGAAGAGCTGAACATCGAGCTCAGTGGCAATCATTTTGAGAGGTCTATGTTCAACAGTAGACGGAATTAGGCTGATGATTATGATGATGATGATAAAAAAGGGACCAACGACACACAAAAAATCCTTTTTTGTCGACTTAAAGAAAATGTATGTACGAAAATACTCAAAATTTCTCCCCTTTTTCCTTATAGTGACCACTTGCAGCTAATAGGCAGTGACAACTGTACATTCCACGAGAAGGACAAGCAGCTTGGCAAGGACAACTTCTCCAAGATACCCAACGGTGTCAACGGCGTCGAGGACCGCATGGCCATTCTCTGGCAGAAGGCTGTTAATACTGGTGAGTGAAATTCTTTTGAATATAATAGTAGGCTTTGACAACAAATTTTATTTTAATTGTCGTGTTTTAAATTTAGTTAATACATTGAACATATTATTTTGGTTAGCGTGTCGATGTTGAACAAATGCATTTTCTGTTTTCTTTTTTTTTTTCTTTAACAAGTATTTTTACCGAAACAAATAGTTTTTACGAAGATTAGAAATATTGATATACGATATGATATTTTGTCTAAATAGCACTTTCAATACAATTTTTTCTCTTAAATATTCCATAAAATAGATAAACCCGTTTGTTTTGACAAACCCAGAGACATCAAACCATTACAGTGGTGTTATAAATTTATTGTTGTGATATAAAAGTAAATAAATCAATTAATAGCTTTTAGTCACTAAGAGTCTGATCAAAAACAAAAATACCAGCTCGTCAACTCACTTGAAAGATTTTTAATTTAATCTATTAGGTACCTATACTAATATTATAAAGGGGTAGAATTTGTAAGTTTGTAGGTAGGGGGTAACATTTAGAACCACTGGTCGGAATCCTAAAATTCTTTCACTCATTTGTAGCAACATTATCCCCGAGTGCTAAAGGCTATAAAACATCACGCTACAATCAAATGGAGCCGAGTAGCGAGTGAAACCGCGCGGTAGTAGCTAGTAATCTAATTTTTTTTTACATGCAACTTAGTTAGGTGAAAGTAAATATCATTCCAATAGCATCCCTTAAACGTAATCACTCATATCAAAATAACAATCATACAAACAACCAATAACAAATATCACCCTTCTTTCTTCAGGAATCATGGACCCTTGCCGCTTCGTAGCGGTGACCAGCTCGAATGCAGCCAAGGTCTTCAACATCTGGCCCCAGAAGGGACGTATCGCCGTCAACAGTGACGCTGACATCGTCGTGTGGGACCCCAAGCTGGAGAGGACCATCTCTGCCGCTAACCATAAACAGGCTGTCGATTTTAATATTTTTGAAGTGAGTTATTTATAATATATATTTACGCGGGTGTTAACGTGAAAAATAATTATTTAATTACCTTGGTAGGCTTTTTTTTTGTCAGGGGAAAATCATCCAATGACTTCTCCCGCCCAGGGTAAGGCGAGAGAGAGTGTCAGACTCTTACTGACTAAAAACACACACAGGTCGTGGTCGCAAGCAGACTTGAGTTATTTAGCTTCGTGTTTTTATTTGGTTTATATCTATGACTAGATTTTTTTTTGTGTCATAGATCGGCAAATGAGCTTACGGATTACCTGATGGTAAGCAATCAGTGCTAAGCAAGCAAAGGAGTTACTACAAGTGTATTGCCGACTCTCGAGGGTTATTAGGGATTTGAGGATTGAGGATGGGGGAAGGGGAGGGATTGGGCCACTAGTAACCTCATTTACACGGCGAAGCACAACGCTATATTTTTGTCACGCTGGTTTTCTGTGAGGCAATGGTATCAGTCCGGTCGAGTCCAGCCGAAGCTTGGCTCTTCCATAAGTATGGGAATGCCTAGAGGGTGTGAAGTTGTATGAATGTAAACGCACCCACGACACTGGAAATTAATGTACAAATTCTTCTTTTTCCAGGGTCAGCACGTAGTTGGCAGTCCCCAATATGTGGTCGTGAACGGACGCGTCTGCCTAGACGACGGAGAACTAAGAGTGGTTGAAGGTAAATTATTAAGAAGAATTATGAAGACTTTAAATTACATAGATAGAAGGATTTTTTATAACACAGCACCTCTGTGTAACTCTAATATCTGAACTGCTGGGTTAGCTCAGTGACTTTTTTGTGGGGGGAAAATCATCCAATGTCTTCTCCCGCCCAGGGTGAGGAAAGTCTGACTGTATTGCATCTATGAAATTGTATGTTTGTAAATGCAACCATGACACAGCACAAAGGACGTTAAACGCGAATTGGGTCACCGGTGACCTACAGTAGCAGAGGATTGATTTGCCCTCAACAGTTTTCTGTCGGCAGTCCAAAAAATCTGCAAAGATTTATTCTGATCACGGTCGGTTTGCGAATCGGTCAACAAAATTTCAGGTCTAATGCCCGGTTTCCGAAAGCCCGATCAATTTTAAAATCAACTCACTAGGTGTAGGTGGTGGAGATTAAATTGATTTTAACATTGATCGGCCTTTCGGAAACTGGGTTTGCCGCTTTCAAACCTTCTTGATATAATTTTTGTATGTTAATCATTCTGAATCAGACAATTTTATTCTTAAACTAGCTACTCTCACGCGGTTTCACCCTCTGCTCGGCTCCATTTGATTGTAGCGTGATGTTTTATAGCCTAATTAGCCTATAGCACTCAGTAACATTGTAGCTATCTATCAGTGAAAGAATTTTAGCAATCCGACCAGCGGTTCCAAAGATTACCCCCTACATACAAACTTACAAATTTTACCTCTTTATAATATTAGTATAGATAGAAACATAGGTCACATGATAGGAAAAAGTACTTAACATGGTATTTTTACAGGTTTTGGCAAATTCTTGAAGACACCAGTGGAATCTCCATTAATATACGACGGACACCAGAGCCAGGAGGAAGCTCCCCATAGACCGGAGTTCCTCGAAGCTCCAGCACGCGTCACCAACGGCACTCCTTCCCCGGGTATGTGCAACCACAACTTCACCTTCACAAACCCATAAAATTGGACTATTTTATGGGTACTCACTGGCTAATTGCAAGGCTATGCACGCTAGCTTTTAAGCTTTCTGTAATGCAAGAAGCATCATAAGTTCCCTTTTTTTAATGGCATAATGAACAAGTTGGTTGTGAGCAATCGTCAACGGTCATAGACACCCGCAACACCAAAGGAGTTACTAGCGCGTGCCCGATCTTTGGAGGATTTAATAATTCGGGTTAGAGATATCACAGCTAAACACCACAGTCAAAGCCTTGCAACGGTTTTGTAGGGTTTAGCTTATAAAATACTTACTTACTATTTTTAAATAAAAAAACAATAACTTCGGTAATCTCACTCACACGGTGAAATAACTACTTAAGTTACAATTAACTCAATTTACGATCACTGCGATCGAAACGGACAATCAAGCCGTAGCATGTTTTTTCCACTTCTGAAAAAATAATTATGAAACCGTGCAACGTGCACCCGACGTGCAACGCACTCGTAACTCTTTTAGTGTTGCGGGTATCCATGGGTGGCGCTGATTACTTTACCATCAGGTAGTCCATCTGTCGGTTTGTCCAACCTATCAATTTTAATGTTTTTTTTTTTATATTGAAACTTATGATGCTCATTTCCATAGACTACTCCAAAAGCGCACACGCAACTAAGCGTAGTATGTAGTAACTTGCACATATTAAGCTAAGCTAGGCTATAATTACATATATATGTCGTATTGTAATTATCGGGCGGGCAGCAAATTAAAGGTTTGAAAGAAAATAAAAATTGTATTGATAAAAGGAATGATTCTTTTCCAATTACTTTTGGAATACGACAGCGAAATAAAAATCTTAAACATTTTTGCTTTTTAGAACTCCGTAGGTACACTCAAAGAGCAAAAATGAAATTTTTTGGACATAACTCCATTCAAAATCTTGTAAATGACCATTGTAAGTCTCCTAAATAAAATACTCCGGCGAATTTTCAACATAATTTGAAGTGTTTCGTCGGTGTAAGCGCTAGCTTTTCGCTAAGTATATTTTAGATATTGGAATCGAAGCTAATAGCTTTTTGCCAGAAGGCTTGATTCCGATCTAACGTCGTGTTTCTCTTACAGACAGTATCATGTATAGTTGCTGCCCTGCCTGGGAACCGACTCGGCCAAAAGGTCGGCTGTTACCATATTAATGTTGCTTTTTAAGTGTGTAAACGGATTAAGGTTTAAAAAGGGATTAAAAAAATAAACGAAAAATGATCATTAAAAATTGAAAGGAAAAACAAAATAAATATGTGCCGAAAACGGACAAAAATATACAGAAAACATCATCTCGACCATAGCAATATTATAGTTACTTAAATTTTTTTGGCATTATCTTCCTTCTTATATAGAAAAATAAATTGTTGTTAGTCTCGCTATAACTCGAGAACGGCTGGTATGTTTTAGATAATGTTCTTTGATGTCTAGGAACGGTTTGGAAACAGAACAGTTATCAAGCAGTATAGAGTTTGCCGGGTCAGCTAGCAGTTACTAAAAATGTACAAAATACTTCTTTACACACTTAAAATAACGGAAAACTTTAATAATTGTAACTAAAAAGTTTTTATCAACTTTCTCGATGTATTACCTAACTCTGTACCTATATTCTAGACTTAGGTCTGATGAACAAGAGCGTGGAGAGCCTCTCCGTGTCTGGGTGTAGCACACCCACTGGCAGGAAGATGCGGGAGCCAGGACAGAGGAACCTGCAGACTTCCACCTTCTCTATCAGCAGTAAGTTTTACATACATATTTAATTCTTGTGTTCAGGCTCAGGTTACAATCACAGATTATTACAATGAGTATGGCCAAAAATATGAAAAAAGTTAATTTACTGACGGCCGGCATTACGAAGATAAGGAGTTTTGGGGATTCACTTATTAAGGACGGATGGAGGTAGGGGAAGGGGTGGGGCCTCGCAGCAATCTACAACGTAGATTTTTATTGTTAGTTTTCGAAATACTTCCAAAGCCCAGAAAACAACTCAAAACCGTTTGGGTCTCATTAAAATTTGTCTAAAATCGTCTTTTATCAATTTGCAGAAGAAATCGAAGGTCTGGACACCAAGACGTCGGTTCGCGTGAGGAACCCACCTGGCGGCAAATCTTCGGGTCTGTGGTAAACAGGTTCGACACCCAGCCGGGAACAAAACTAGCTTGCGATGACACAACACTGATACTTGTGAACAGTTGTGATAATATAATTTTACTTGATAATTTCTTTCGAGAATTATTATTATTATTGATTTTGAATTTAAGTCCTTATTACTAAGGACGTTAGAGCGAGCATAATGTTGAGACGTGTATGAGAAAACTGAACGGATTTTTGTTAAAAAAATCATAAAATAACGATAGATTAATAATCTAGATTTTGTTAAAAATGATTCATTAAATTCTAATTTCAAAATTAGCACAATGTGATTAGGTACTGACTAAAGCGTCACGTTAGATTCCATTGACGGAACTCTTCACAAGTAAAAGTCAGGGGCTTGGGCTACGAACCGTCGTCTTAAGCTACTCGTAATTAACCCAAAGCTTAACATAGTTTAACTTAGACTGTTAATTTGATAAGGTCATGACAGTATAACTGATTTCTATAAACATTTTTGCTTTATTTATACAGTACAGACTGACCATATGACCCATGTGACTAGAATTTTTTCTAAGGGATATTCAAGAAAGTAAAGTATATTTTTTTGTATGTGATCGATTATTCAATGACTACGCCTCCCCTCCCCCTCCCCTCCGGGAGCAGAGAGTGGGACCGTCAGACTATTACTGACTGAAAACCAACCCGGCTACTTCTATTATGAGCTGGGACGCCGTAATTTGTTATTTTCAATGATTTACTATGTCCGAACACATTTATCAAGAATATCCCTTATAAAATGGCTTAAATTAAACAAAACAATTAATCAACTTTCAATATTAATTATTGGTAATTTTGTGGTCGAAATTCAGAACTGATTTTAATCCAAAATATTTGTGATCATTTTTTACATTCTTTGTATATGTCTGTTATAGTGGTGGTCTAGTTAGAGAAAGATGCAGATAGTCACCCTCTTCTTCATACATCAGGGTGCGAGTGCAAAACTTAGGAATTACCGATCACTTTTAGACACCACTGACATACCATAGGAATAACATAGCCAGGAAACCTGGACTTATATTTACTGATTATAAGTTTGAAATCATCAATCTGCCTTGAGCAAGCATGATGATAAATGTTCAAACCTTCTCCGTGTGAGAAGAGGGCTTTGTTCAGCAGTGGGCATTTATAGGCTAATGATGTATCTATAAAAAATTAAGACCTAATCGATTTTGGATTAAAATCGGTTATAAATTTCATTATCAGTTTATAAATTATTAATTTTAGACTGTATTTAATATAATTAATGATTAAAAACGTTGATTATGCTTGTGTCACAATTGTAATTTTAATTAATTGTTGCCCTGAATATTTAGATAATAGGTATTTAATTTTTTTATCGTTATAATATTCCTTGTATTGACGTGAATTATTCAAAGCAAACTGTTACAGTTGCCACACCAAAAATCATGAATGAAAAATTAAAAAATCAATTTAATACGTATTTAATTACAAATGATCTGTTTCGCATCTAAATAGGGATTTTTTATATTAATCTTAAATATACTAGCGGTTTTTGTAGTTTCGCTTAGTTCGTGGACTGATCAATGGATCTAAATAGAACTTAGGACAAAAATGGTGTAAAGTTGGTGTTGCCATGTATTAAGTAGTCCGTCATAAAATAAATATCAAGATAATACAAGTTATTTTAATTGGTTGATCGTAATTGTTGGTAACATTAATATTCATATTAAGGAATAGGTTTCAAAATATCTATTTTGTAGTTTTTTATAAGATTTTTCTTTATTATTCATTTTAAACAGCCTCTAGTCCAGTGGTAGTAAGTGCTACGACTGATCTCTAGTTCCTGGGTTCGATCCAGGTGGGGCAATGTTTTTCTTTCGTAAAACTGTCAATAATTTCCTTAACGGTTGGAGTCTGGATATGTGCTTCGTCAATAGCCATAAACTCACCACCGAATTTGTATTTTAAGTCATTATTTTATGTCTCTGTATCACAAATAATGTCTATAAAATTGAAACCGCTAGAATATTTGAGATAAGAACCTGAAGTAAAAAATACAATTAAAACAATTTACAGATCAATACAATTATGTATATTTATTGTCTTATGGTTGATTTTCGCATAAAGCATGCACGAAATAAATCAAATTGGTTTGGACTACAAAAAAAGCATCATTGTTCAAAATCTAGGTATTAATTAATACCTATTATTAATTGTAATATTCAGGTAAAGAATCACCTCAGATTTATTTGTATAACTAAATAGACTAGAAGCTAAACCCATTATGTAAATTTGTGTTTTTTAAATGAACTCACGCCACAGGAGAAGCAAAAAACAGATACTGATTGGTCCTAGTGAGAAATTGAAGAAAGTCTAAATAGACGTACAAGTAAATCTTAATATAATTGTTTCTTTACAATATTAACTTGTTATAATTATAGTATTAAAAAGTTACTAGTTAACTTTGAACTTTTATGAAAATACATTGACATAATTTGATAAAAATGCGATGTGTATCTCTGATTTGGAGAAATAGTATTCATATTTTGTCATTTAATTTAGTGTATTTTCATAAAAGTATATTATTTTCAAATTCCTAAGTGTTACTGCTAAAATGGGCCAAAATCGTTGATTTTTTAAAACAATTTTTGCATTTATTGTCATTTATTACTTGTTATTTCATTTGTTTGAATTGGAGTTTTAGAGCAATAATATTAAGTAAATAGTAACTTACATAAATAGATTGATTGGAAGACACAGTATATACCAAAATACTATGTAATTAATATTTATGTAGACTACAATCCCAGATACCATTGTACCCTCAGAAGTCTTTTTGGAAAAAATAAATAAAAAAACCTACATAGATCCAATTTACCATATCCAATTTTTAAAGAAAATCTTTTCGAAAATATATACACCAAAAAGCATTTTCAGTTTTTCAATCGCCTGTACGTATACATAATAAAAAATAAATACACAATTACCACCAATAAACAATTTAGTTTTAATATATGAATAAGAACTCCTAAACTTGCTGTCGTTCATAAGTTATAAACACATAACTGTAATTTTTTGTAAGTAGGTGAAGAGTGAATGTAATGCAGCTGTATGTTGTGCTTTTGTGATTTGAAAAAGTTGAAATATATAGACATTTTCTAATATTAAATACATCTTTACATAAAAACTTGACATGGATGGATGTTTCAAATAAAAGCTTTATTTAATTTAATATAAAAATAGATACTCACTACGACTTACATCGTTATAAATCATGGTTTGGCAAAATCTGAAAACAACGCCATCTACCTTGAGATTTAAAAACTATTTTGCAATTAATCAAAATATTTGAAGATGTCTGTGTATTTGAACTGTATAATGTATCTTAAGATTCGCGAAGAATCATTAGTTTTTAGTTATTATTGTTTTATAAAACACTTTTATAAAGATTTGTCACCAATGTACGGTCGCCTAGAGTTTTGTTAAGTTTTGAAGACGAAAAAACCAGTGGCGCAGCTTCACAATCTAAACCTCTGTTCTAAAATGGAAATCTAGCATTTTGGAACATAATATATCTAGTTTCCAATATTTACCAAAACATAGCCTATTTTGAAGTTTTTAAAGCAAATCGAAACATCAAATTTTCGTCTTCAAAATGTTTTAGCTTCATATACCTAACTGGAATGTATTTGGTCAGTATAGGGGCCAAATTATTATATTATAACCCCAGTACAAAAACCTTAAATTAATTATTTTATCTCTCCGGATAGAACCTAGTCTTGCAATGGCGTCACAATTTTTATAGCGTTTTACATTATTTCTAAATGTATATTCTCTATTATGCATTGTCACAAATAAACAATGTAATCTCATGTTCTGCGTTTTATTTACCCTTTGTCAATGTTTTTAAGTATGCTTTATTAATTCAGTGTCTATGATAAGCAAACATTAGTAAAACTCTCCACATTATTGGCTCATGAAATATCCTAATATCTGGAACAGGTCGTCGACCTATTCCAATTTAAACTAAATATTATCGATGCAATATTCTTAGATATCTTAAATAAAACGTACAGTAAACAGTACAACACTTTAATTAGTTTATTTACTTTAGAATTATGATACCTATAGGACAAATTCACGGATTAGTTAAACCGTAGGTAAAAAAAAAATTGTTGTCTGAAGATGTCAAAAAGAGCAAAGAAAAGGTTTCGCTCTCTCTCCGTGAAAGTGCACCCTATCAAATATTCGAGTTCGGCACTCTAATCTTGATGCAGTACATCACCACCTTGAGACTGACAACCCTACACACATGTTTCTCTCGGAGACCCAAATTAGATATCCGTCAAACATATCTTACCTAAACTACCCAGAGTTCTCTCTGGAGCACAATTATGTTTCGCGTGTAGGTGTATGCCTATTCATTCGCGACGGCATCTCCAATCGGAACCTCTGAAACCATGAGAACCCCAGTTTTTATAGACATGTATGCCTACGTCTAAAAGTCGCACAAAGGATACTTAAATAAAACCAGGTTTGCGCAACGTCTTGGTGAGGCAGCCGATGTGGCTCGGCAGCGGTGGTTACAGGAGACCTTCATTGCTATTGTTACGGGGGGACTTTAACGCCGATCACCAAGAATGGTTGGTTCGGCGCTAGCACTTAACCTGACTCAGCTGATCTGAGCGGCCACAAAGGTATCCGAATGCGAGTCGCACACTACCAAAGACTTGGACCTTCTGACAACAGATTCAGACCGTTACTCAGTGTCAGTGTTTTCACCTCAGGTTATCTCTGACTTCTGTCTTGTAGAAAACTCGAAGACGCTAAAGCACGCGAATAACTGGCACGTGCAGGTGCCAGGCTCTGTAGGGCTGGCGATACTCATCAAAAGAAGAGTACCTTTAACCAAAAAGACATTACAGTGGGCTCGGTGGTGCCACAGAAGTTCGATTCTCGGTCCTTTCGTACTTCCGTTACTGCTGAGGCCTAACGGGAAGCTGGCCCACACCGCGGTTGATAAAGCAAATCTGTTTGCTTCTCAATTTGCGGAGTCTTCGCGACTAGACACTGGTAGCGCGTCGCTCCCTTCTCTTCGTGGCTTATGTGAATACTAACATGTCAGACAATCTCATCCGACACCAGGTACGTATGAAAGACGTTGCCGGATCTGTACGTGACACGGCTGTTTCACCTTTCGTTGAAGACTGGTCAAGTGCTAAACGCCCGGAAGCTGGAAATCGTCCAGCCCGTGCCCAGCCCACAACTTTAGACGCATCCCGTTCAGATTCATAAGTTACAAGAAAGGTGGGCGTGGAAGATAACGAACGTCTTCTCAGTTATCAGCAATACGGGTTTCGTCACCACCGATGTACAGAGGACTTTCTTGCTTATGCTTTACTCATATTTGGAGCGAGGCCATCGAAAAGAGAGGGAAGACACGATCAGTCTCGCTAGATATTTCGAAAGCCTTTGACAGGGTCGGGCACTATATGGCTATAGGAATCGACAAGCTTCCTGCATAGGGACTTCTCGTCTGACCAATTTTTATTATTTAAGCCGGGTTTTCTCAGGGGTTAGTGCATTTCCTCAGCAACGCTGTTTTAGTTTTAGTAATAACTAACTTAAGCCCGGTATCATCACAGGCGCAATGTTGCAAGCCTTTGGGTTTATTTATCCGATACATTTCTTATTATAATATTCGTAGGAGCTGTACGACTTGATTCTCTCTAGTCCTTTCCACCATCATACCACCAGACAATCGGCAAAACGTCATCGCTTCATAGTGGATAACCCACCCACACGCACGAAGCGGTTCGCCTCCAGTTTTATTATCAGAACCGCTAGGGAGTGGAATTCTTTAAGC